TCGGAACTCCTCCATGAGACGAGGCAGCTGCTCACGAGCGCGATCTCTCTGAACAGGGTGAACCAGGTTGAATGAGTAAGTAAAACCACATACGGCCATTACTTCGCAAAGATACGCAAACTCGCACGTCACCACTGTCATTTATAGGTACCATGCTCATTTTCATGGGATAATTCAAATTCAAATAAGTTGTGAACATGTCTCGGCTTGATTTGAGTGTAAAAGTGCATACAGAGGCGGCGAGCATCCTTAGACTATTGAGCTCCTCTCAGGGAGCCGTGAACTCAGGCTAAGCCCCATTTCCTGATGTTAATCTCTTCGGGTAGACTGTCCATCAGTGAAGAATTTTGTCGAGCTCACGAAAGGTGAGCAGATCGTCTCGCCCGAAAACCAAAGGGGCAGTTTTGGCTGCCCTACGGCTCGAGCAACCGAGTTTGTGCCAGTGTCTGCTCACTTCAAGAATGAATTACTATAAATTACAGGCACAGAACACATTTCTCAAGTGGTGCCCAATTCTAAACTTGAACAAGGATTCGCAGTAACAACGAACCAGCTGTTGCATCCACAACATATACAGTTCCCAGCGACGTTGCTTCGTCAACGAGAAAACGTATTTTACATCGGCGGCTTCCTCTGAGGACATTGGATTCACCTGAAATAGACATCAAAGATTTCGCCAAAGCAAGCCGTAGACTTTTTGACTCATTGCGTACTGTGTGGCGCACGCACAGAGTACATCACGCAACCCCACAAAAAAACCATTCGATTCATTAACCACTTTCTGAAGTTTCGTCGCCGATATATTTTTCGCACACAGGATGTGAACAAATACTATACTAATTTCCGACAGATTACGGGTTACTGACGAAACAGACGTAAAAGCCCAGAGAAGAACATAACATCGGTCCGCAATGAGTTTAAATCTCATATAAAAAAGTACCCGAACGATTGGTTCTTGAGCTTCAGAGCACTCGTTGACTAAAACCTTGTCCACTGCTATCTTAAAAACTGCTATCTGAAAAAAAAAAACAATCTGCGATGGCGGAATGTGATTGAAAAAACTTCTTTATCAATGAAGCGAAAAAAAAATCAGGCAGCCGGTCACTTACATTCGCTTTGCCCATTGATTTCTGGCAGTAGCCTTTGGTGCGATTCGCTAGAAGGATGACATTTTTTTCAACAGAACCTCTCTTCGAAATATCCCATTTTTGTTCGGTAAGGTACACCTCATCATATGCATCGTCGCTTTCAACAGCTTGCTGCTAAAAAAATTTATTCTAAGGTTATGCTGCTGAAAAAACTCATTCTAAGAAACATCACTACCACAGATTTGCTGTCAGCCCATTGAGAAAGGCGTACCAGGAAGAAGGTAGCATAGAACAGTAAAACACCCACATTTAGAACTTCTAAGAGACTGTCAAGCGTTACACGTCCTTCTGCCTCCTCATCTTCAAGAGACTAAAATGAATGTAAGGTGGCGGTGAATAAATCTACTCAACTGAGTTGGAGGAGTTGACCATACTGCAAAAATGAAACTCACTGAAATCTCATTGCTCTCTTCTTCTTCGCCTTCTTCTTCCATTTCTTCCTCGTCTTCTTCTTCCATTTCTTCATCGTCATCTGCGGGTAGTTCTCTGCCACAATTCTCTTTTGTGTACGCTTTTTCCAGAAGCCAACATGCCAAAGTCTCATCGTTCTGCAAGTTGTCAATCTTACAATCGATATTATATGGCAGATATGCTGTCAATTGTTCAACTCGAACAACGAATAACGCAAAAATGGCTCAGAAGAGACTGGGCACGTACGTCAAGCTTTCTGCCTGACGAATCACAATGTGTTGCTTGCCATGCTAGAAATTCGTTCCGGAATTTTTCAGGTATGATATTGTTCTTTGCTAAAACTTTATAGCAGGCGAGATTCCTAAACATGACCTGATAAAAACAGCAACATGAAAAAAGCCAAATTAATGCCGCATCGAAACCAATCGTACAGGGTGCGCCAAAATTACTTGCTCAAAGTCCCGCCCCTTGTAAGAACTGTAAAACAATAAATTGAGGGCTCGTTTTCTAATAGAAGTTTACGAATGAAATGCCATTACCAAACCCGGCTTCACATCTCAAAGTGTCTCTTTCGGACTGAGCTACAGCCTTTAATTGCGAGGGAAGGTCATCCACTGTGGCGCGTCAGTGCTCCAAACCAGGGTGAATATTGCTTGAGGATTCCTCAACGGCACGTCGAGGATTTTCGCCTGATCCTTACGTTCTCGCGCGCGGATATTCACTCTCGCCACCCGCGAGCCGTCTGTGCTCTCCGCGCGGATGTTCACTCTCGGCACTACTCTCGCATGGTAGAGAGCGGTCGAGGAAATTCCTCGACCGTTATTCACCCTGCTCCAAAATAATTTCTTCCTAAAGGTAGAGCAGATTCGTGATCTGGGCTGCGGCTGGGTGGTGCTTTACGAGCAGACCTTGCTTTCTGAAACAACACGAAATGCTTCCACTCTTTTGAAGTAAGTAGTTTTGATTGACCATAATTGAGCGCTGGTGAGACCAGCGGCTGGTGATTCTCGCGTGCTGCGATGTCACCTTC